TCAATACCTCCCCCCTCGGTGTGGCGTGCGGCCCACGGGCCACGAGTGCCCACATTATCCCGCCGAAAGGCTCCTCGGCGGCCCCTGGGACGCCCCCGTGCAGGACCGCATGGCCCCCCCAAAGAGGCCCTGCAGACGCATCCCACAAAGGCCCCCCGACACATGCGAGGGTCGTAAGGGATCGAGGGCAGGGCAACGCCCTCGAGGGCGCCCCTGTTCTCAAAACGTTCCAGAACGCTCTGAGAGCGTTCTGCTGGCCATCGCTCGGACGTCCATTCCCTGTGTTTTTTTCGGTTTCGTGCGTAGTTTTTTCGCCAAATGATCAAGGATGCTCCTCGATGGTCCTCGCCGAAGGAAAAAAGCACACGTCCGAGCGATGCCAAGCTGCAGGCCGCCGCAGGCCTGGGGATCGCATCCCAGGCGGGGCGCCAGGAAGGGCGTGGACCCCCCCCCCCCGCTGCGGGGACGTCGACGTCGTCGCCGAGGAGGAGGAGGAGGGGGAGGAGGAGGAGGAGGAGGAGGAGGAGGAGGAGGAGCGGATCTGTCCTCGCCACCAGCCCCGTCCGACCTAGACCCCCTCGCGTGGCGGACCGACTCGCGACGGGCGGGGCTCTGGGCGACCTCCGGCCTCTGGGGGACCCTCGCCCGGCCCGGTGACCATCAGCGACCGAGCCTCGGGAGAAGCCCAAACACGATGTTTTTTTGGGCGGCGGGTCGAGAGCGGGCCTCTTCCGGTTAAGAGCTAGGCGGGGCGCGCGGGGAGGAACCGAAACACCAGCCCCGGGAAGTGGTCGAGAGACCGTCGGTCCACGTGGGGCGGAGAGGGCGCTCCCAGGCCCCTGGCGTCGTGCTTCTGTCGCAACGAGAAAGAGAAACAACCATATATATATATATATATATATATATATATGCGGGCCAGATTGTTACCCGTATCCACTGCGTCTTCGAGTTTCGGGCTCCCTGCCTCCGATACCAGAGGCTCCGTGGATTTGGATAGGACATTTTCGCCCCTAGAGGTCAGATTTTTATCTGAGAGGGGACCTAAGTTAGCAGGGCCAGGAACATTAGGGCAAAAGGGATCTTTTTCTGCAGGCGTATCGAACCACACCGCCCAGAATTAGTATCCCTAATGCGAAGACGAGGACCTCAGTGAGGTTACGTCCTCATCGTGCTATTCGGGTCAGGGTCGAAAGGAAAAACAGCACAAACAACCTTTTCGCGCTCCGCGCGGATTTCTTGGATCTGCGCTGGAACCCCCTCCCTGGCGCGCAGAGCGCGCCAGGGGCGGCGCCGGAAGCGCCGCCAGGGGGGGGGGCCCGCGCGGAGCGCGGGCAGTTTATGTTTATGCCGCTTTCTCGTCTTCGAACAAAGTCCGCCCCCGGAGATCTCGACCCCTTCCCCGGGACCGGCTTCTCGTCCTGGGCCGTCGTTTGACGCTCCCGAGGCCCGGTGAGGGCCCCTGCATGGCCGGAAAGCGGTACAAACCTCCCGCCGCGTTTTCTTGGCCACGCGATGGGGGGGTCTGGGACGAGGAGGAGGAGGAGGAGGAGGAGGAGGAGGAGGAGGAGAGGAGGAGGAGGGGGAGGGGGAGGGGGAGGGGGAGGAGAGGAGGAGGAGGAGGAGGAGAGAGGAGGAGGAGGAGGGAGGAGGAGGAGGAGGAGGAGGAGGAGGAGGAGGAGGAGGAGGAGGAGGAGAGGAGGGGAGGAGGAGGGGGAGGAGGTAGGAGGAGGAGGAGGAGGAGGAGGAGGAGGAGGAGGAGGAGGGAGGAGGAGGAGGCGGGGGCCGGAGCCTGCGCTAGCGGCGGAGCTGCCGCCGCCGGCCGCGCGCCATCACGGCAGCGGCGCGCCCCCCTGGGAGGCTGCCCCGGGCGGCCGCGGCGTTGGGCGGCATCCGGGGCAGCCGAGGGGGGCGGCTGCTGCGCGGGCAGGAGGAGGAGGATGAGCGTCGAGGAGGAGGAGGAGGAGGAGGAGGAGGAGGAGGAGGAGGAGGAGGACCAGTGTAAACCCGAGAGTCACCAAAGATTTTGGAGTAAACCCTCCCCCCAAGCTCCCTCTTCATAGGCCCCTACAACGGTTCATTTCCACAGAGGGACCTGCCTCGTTGGAAGACAACCGTTTGAGGACCCTGAAGCATGCCAAAACATTATTGTCGGTATTCCAACGCCACGGATGAACCTGACTGTTGCGTCTTGGCGATCCTGAATCGCGCCAGAACGCCATTCGTGGGACCTCAACTCCGCGAATCATCGTAACTGTTGCGCCCTCAAAATCGTGAACCCTTACAAAACACAATTTCTGGTACGTCGAGCATAGGAATCCGGGAACCTCCTGCAGTTTGTTAGCAAGAATCTGCGCGGCGCTACGGCGAGAGCCACATTTTGAAAACCACCCGCCCTCCATCTGTGAAACTGTTGCTAATTTTTAAGCTTTAGGGTCATAGTGGTGAGGAAGTCTTAGGCGAAACGCCCAGCCGGCCCTAAAAACTGGCCTCGGGGTGCGACAGGGAGAAGTTATGTATAAGGAGAAGGGATGGAGGGTGGAGGGTTGAGGGTGTAAGAGCAGGAGGAGGAGGAAGAGGAGGAGGCGGAGGGGGGTGGAGGGAGGAGGGAGGAGGGTTGAGGGAGGTGTAGAAGGAGAGGAGGAGGAGGACGAATGAGGAGGAGGCGGAGAGGATGAGGAGAGAGGGAGGAGGAGGAGGAGGAGGAGAAGGAGGCGGAGGAGGAAGGGTGGAGGAGTGGGAGGAGGAGGAGAGGGAGGAGGGTCGAAGGGGAGGGTGAAGGAGGAAGGTGGAGGAGGGTGATGGAGGGTGGGGGAGGATAGTGGAACAGAGTGGGAGGGGCCAGAAGAGGAGGAGGAGGAGGAGGAGGAGGAGGAGCAAGACGAGGAGGAGGAGGAGGAGGAGGAGGAGGAGGAAAGCGGGGGGCCAGAGAAGGAGGGGAACGAGGAATGACGGAGAGAAAAGTGAGTAAAGGAGAGGGAGGGGGGAGGAAAAAGAAGAGAGGGGGGAGGGGGAGCCCGGAGGGGGCCGCGGCTGCTCGCGGAGCAGGGGGCGCACGTCTCCGGTGCGACGACGGGGAGGCCGTAGCTCCGCTCCGTGCGTCGCGGATGCGGGCGGAGGTTGGAGGAGGGGGGAAGAGGAAGGAGGAGGAATAATGAGAATAACAATAAAAATAAGAGGAGGGAGGAGGGAGGAGGAGGAAGGAGGAGGAATAATGAGAATAACAATAAGTATAATCGTATTAG